ATGGTTAGTCTTAATGTTTTTTTCTTATGTGTAAAAGAGATATTATAACTTCTGACCTGAAATGTTTATTTTTTACTGTCAAAAGGAAAGTTTTTCCTCATTTTGTAAATAATTGTTAAAGCTGCTTTTTTCTTCAATTAAAAAGATAATGAATGATTAAAGCATAAGTTTTTCTTTTTTTAACAAACCAAATTTTTGCTATTTATTTTAAATATTGAAGTGAAGTTTGCTTTTAAAATAATTGAAGAAAATTAATATAGATTTATTTTTGAAGCATAACATAATGCCATTATAAAAAATCTGGAAATATCAATTTAGAACCAGTTTGTTATTTTTAGGAAATTTAAAAAGAAGTTGTTTTAATTCATTATCTAATCATTTGGTACTAAGATGATTGGCCAATTGTTACCTCACACTAATAGCTTCATTTTTACTTTTAAATGGCTTTTTTTCCGAATTTTTCTTTTGATTAAAATATTTTTGAATCGCTCCGTTTTGTTCGTACTATTGCATATATTTCAATCTATTCCTACATAATAACATTTTTTTTTTCTTTAAAAAAAAAGATAAAGGTTATTAAATAAAAGAGATTTCACAAAAAACTTCAAAGAAAAAACTTTTTTACCAAAATTTTAGAAGAAAGAAAATTATTGGGATGAACTGGAAACATTACTGGAAAATATTGATGAGCAGATTACAGAGCCAATTAAAGATTCTAAACTTGGTTTGTTCATTCACTTATTTCAAAAAATTATTTGAAATAAAAAAAGATAAAATTATTACAACATACCAAAAAAAAACATCGCCAATAAATTTGTCCTCAATTTCTTTTTTTTTTGTTTGAAATATTCTTACATACGACTAATGTTCAAAAATTATATTGGATGATAAAAAAAGAAGTTAGCGGAGATAAGATTCAATTTCAACTTGATTTTCTCAACAATTCTTTTTGCAATATACTCAAAGTGACACGAATAGCAACAACACGACTGTTTACTTTTTCCGTTTGTTCTCAATTTTTTTTTTTAAAATGTGCACTGAAGAAATGATTTGTTACCTAAACTAATTTAAGTCTGGAAATTCGAAGGTTTAGTTTAATTGTCTGAAGCAAGCATAAGTAATTCCTTTTCACGTAAAAAATGAAAATAATTTAATATTTATTAAGTTTCAACAACACCAGTAATACAAAACAATCCTTGTGAGGATTATATTTGTGGATGGGGTAAAGAATGCATTATAGACAAAAAAGGTGAACCATTTTGTGAATGCATTTCGAAATGTCCACTAATGGATGATGATCCGCTTGATCAGGTTTCATTCAAATCTCTCGTAAAATTTAAATTTTTAAAATTTAAAACTGCTAACTACCTACATTATTGTACTAATTTGGCATTAGTACGGTATTTGCTTTTTCAAAATTGTTGGATAACTGGAAACACATATACTATTAGAAATAACCAAAATGATTCCCAAAATCTAGAAATAAATTTTCATAAAAGTAATATTTTTAGGTTTGCAGTAATATGAACCAAACATTTTTATCGTTATGCGAACTGTATCGCGAAAGATGTCTTTGTAAACACAAATTTAAAGAATGCAAAGTTAGTCAATGTCATCAACTTAATTAAGTTAAGCAACTTAAGCACATAAAAATTATTAAAACTTGAAGATTGAGCAAAATTTTTGATTTTTTTTCATGCTGATTACTGGATTATGTTTATACCTCAAATTTACTCGATTATAAGCATATGTTCCATTTACTGAAACATAAATTTACTTTTTAATTAATCAATTATGAAATTACTTACTTAAGTGACTGAAATTATACCTTAATATTATCTTGAATCATAGTAAAATGTATTAAAAGTTATATCTTGAACTAATTCATTTCCAAATGCGCTGTCTTTTACAACTGTGAAAGTTTCATGCAATATTTGATCGGTGAAATCAATTAGTAAGTAAATAATAATTGTTATTTAGAATAAAGTTAATGCAAAAGTACATTTGGAATATTTGGGTGCTTGCAAGAAGCTTGACCCATGCACCGACGAATTGATGGTACAATTTCCAACACGAATGGCTGACTGGCTTTTCCAGGTATATCCAATAGAATAAGATTTTTGTAGAAGATATCTGAAAAACCAAAAAAAAAATGGAAATTCAAATTCAGTTGGTCACTTTAATAAAATTTATCAAACATTAATTGACGACTTTCGCAAGAAAGATGAAAGCAGTTGTTGTTCTATTCCTATTGAAATTAAATTTCACATGACTCAGCTTAAAATTGAAACATTTTGAATCACTGAAACGATGATAATTTCATTTCGAAAGTCAATATTTGTCGGCTAGCTTTTGATTTTTTTTTAAATCAAAAACAGTGTTTAAATTTTTTCATAATGTGGAGACAAATGTTCTGTTTTTACTTATAATAGAAATGACAAGCTTTATTAGCATGTAGAATAGAAGGAAAAAAATGTTGATCAGTTGAAAATTTAAAAAAAAGGTAAAACGCAATCTTTGTTTTGCATATTACTATTTTATATCCATTTTAATAATTTTTAGGACTTTCTTCTTGTTTAAAATAAAATTTTAACTTAAAAAAAATTTTTTTCTTTTTTGGAGGTAATGCGAGAAATGAAGAAACGACGAGAATTGCATAATTTGGAATGGGAAGAATTAATCGTTGAAGCAGAATCTGATGATGAGAAAAAGCATGTGTATCCAGTAATATGGAAGTTCTGTGATTTGGATATCAAACCTCATGATAAGCATGTATCACATCATGAACTAATTCCCATCACAGCACCTGTCATTCCTATGGAATCATGCATTAAACCATTTCTCGAAAATTGTGATATCAATAATGATGGTAACATTTCTATCAAGGAATGGGGCAAATGTCTTGGCCTAAAAGAAGGTTTATATATATATATAATTCAATTAATTATTTGACTATTTGCATAATGATTGATTTATTCAGCTTATTAAGAAGTAATCTGGTAGTTAATCAATGGTTAATCCCACAACATCATTTGGAAATAATAGTATGCGATAATTGATAATAAGCAGTAGTAAAAATTATCAATAGCATGCCGAAATAATACTAATTTGAAAAATTAAGCACTTATAAATTAACTTAGAAAAAACATAGAAAATTATATGATTTTTGCAAAGAACTGAAAAAAAAACGCTTCATTAGTATAATTGAATATTTAAAAATTTTTGAAATTAAATGAAAAGTTGAAATATAAAAGTTTGTCCATTAATCTAGTTAAGATATAATCTAGCGAAAATGTCCCAAATGCATCATAAAATAAGTTTCTGAAATTCTAGATATTTTTGGTAATTTTTATTTTTCCTTTTTTGCATTTACAATGTATCAAAAATATTACATCTTATTTTAATAAGATATCAAATTTTTTTCTTTGCAGGTGAAATTCAGGAGCGCTGTTAAAATGAAAAATGTGTATATTCAAACACTGCCAATTGTAACTTTTATTGGATTCGAAAGAAAAGGAAATTTTTCCCCTTATTTATTGTTATAAAGCAAATTGTCAGTTCTTTTCATTATTTCATTAGTTTTACTATGTCATTTTATTATCATAATGAATGAATTATTCAAGAAAGAAAAAATTTTCTTTTTTTTGAAGAAAGAATACAAATTTTGATTGCTGATTGAGGATCAACATTCGTCTTATCATAATTAACATACCACTTGTTATCTTGGTAATTTCTTGAAAAATAAAAAATGAAAAGTAAAATTAAAGCAAGAAGAAAAAAAATAAAGTACTACAATGGTTTTTTTCATTCCTACTTACATAGTTACTATTTTATTTACGCAGTTACAATGAACAAAATGAAATTAAATAATGACAAGTTTTCTTAATTTATCAAATTTCACTAATTGCAATTGATCATTCATTGTAAAACACTATGAAAAATTCATGCAATAGCTAGAGTAAAAAGAAAAAAAAAGTGAAATTTTAAAAATGCAAATTCGTTTCCTTTCTTTGTTAATTTCTACAAGCTTTGTAGTATGATTTTGGATCAAATTTGAAGAGAAAAGTAGTCGTTTAAGTATTATTACATAATGTAGCTAATTAATCCTGATGAAACAAATGATACCTTATCATCAGATTGATCCTATTTTAGTTTTGAGTATATTTTGAACAGTTACGGGATGTGCACCTCTGATCCGAACATAATTATGTCACCACCCATTGCAATTATAACTGTATATTCTTAATTAAGCTAAAATTAATATCTATCAGTGCGTTGGATGATTTTCATACATCCAGCGGATATTAGAAATTGAAGGGTCAAAAGTCATACAATAACATTTTCTATTAAATATTGCAAAAAAATAGGGAAAGAATTAAAATTTGATGAATAAAATTTGAAATATTTTTTGATGAGTCAAGCTTAGATCATTCATATATTAGCCAAATTTTAAAGCTTTTTTGAGCAACCGAAACTAATGCAAACATAGTATGGTTGAGGTTGAAGACAAAATTTAAAACGTCAAAAATTTACCAGTGTATTCTGTTTACTTATATTGTTGCATTAATCAGATAAGCATGAAAAGTATATTTCATTTTAATGAAATTTATCATAGCAATTCATGAGATCGTTGAAATAAGTCACTTTTAGCCTATCATTCATTGACAATGGTAAACGACGATATAAAATGTGGGACAATTTAAATAATTTGCACTCTAAATGAAACTTTAGTCATTTAAGCAATAATAACATAATTTATAATATTCACTGAAACAAATTCGTCAAATTTTTTTTCAAACATTAAAAGTTTTTAAATTTAGATTTTTAGCATTTTTTGATGAAAAATCAAATGAAGAATGAAGATGATATCAAATAGCATATTTTCCTAGATTAATATGATAAAAAATGTTTGCAGTATCATCCATTGAAATGAATACAGTGGATGATATCTGGTAAATCATTTTTGCTCTTTCAGAATGCAATACAATATCTTAGCAGTATTAGACGAATTGAGTAGAACTAGATAGTAACGGCATTGGAGATGGCATTGTTGGTTCACGCCAACTTCCTTCATCCATATGTTTACTGCCATTCCTGCCAGTTCGTTCTTCCGGACATACTGCTTTTTCCACATCAAATACGGTTAGCTTACCACTTCGTTGCAAAAATTTCATCCATAAAGATTCCGTAAGACGTGCACATACAATATTACCACCATGTGAAGCAATCATCTGGAAATTTCCGCTTTAGAAGAATATGCAATATCGATTGATCAGCTGGTTGACAAACTTCATCATCCACGTCAACAGATCGATTAAATGATATGTAGTTTTGATGACTGATATTTGTGAGCCAACTTTTAGAATTTCCGGGATGTCCATATGTTGCGCTGTATTCGATGTGTATAATCGTGCCACTATCAAAGGTGCGTTGCACTGAATGACCGAATGTCCTGTGACTCTTCCTTTCAGTTTGTGACTAATTTACCCAAATTTGAATAACTGTAAACAGAATATTCAAATAGGAGAGGTTTAGAGGGGACTACCGGCAAATAACTCCACTCTTTAAATTTGGAAAGTCCTTGGTTCGTTGATAGTAATGAACTCCTTCATTCACCAATGGCATCTTTTCCAAAATGAACGATATTTCCAAATCAAAAATTAAATATAACCAATAATGCAGAATTAGAATTCATTAGGTAAAATTTCCGCTTGATAAAAACATACGTGCAGAATGAGTACACCGTCGGGACGAAGGAAATGATGCACAAAGCGATGAGTTTGATTGGATTCACATTCCAGGAATTTGGTGACAAATGCATGTCTCCAGTCTGCAAGCGATAATGATAATGTCCAAATGATCATATTTATGGCAGTACCAAATGAGAGTAGTAGAAGCCAAAGCCACAAAAATAGGAATATCTTCTCCGTCAACATATTAACAACGAGAACGCATTGCACCGTATGTCGATGAATATTGCCCAAAACCCGTATTTCAAAATCACACAGTGTTACACGTGGAAAACGTCCTGAATCACGCCATTCTCTACCCTAGAAATCTTGCATTAAATTTCAATTGTCAGAAATACGCGTATCAAATGATATTTGCACCTGCAACGCATATGAAATATAAAGTAGTTGGAATTTCACTGAATTGATAATATTCAAATTAATTTATATTTGTAAAGTTATAAAAGATGTTAGATGGTCTATGCTTTAGTTTGAAATCAATATTCAGTACAAAAAAGCTAACTAATTTTTAAAAAAATTCATAAGAGATTCTTTTTCAATTAAATATTTGATATTGAAAAAAACTTGTAAAATAATTTTAACATAGAAATTGAAGTATAAATTCAAAAAAGGTTGAACCATGATGAGGTCATAGAGAACATGACCACCGAAGAATGGATAATTGGATGTTTCCAAAAAGTTATTAAGCATAATAAATTGTAGGATAACGTTACACAGATGTAAGCTTTTCACGAAGAGATAAACAACTGATACATATGCTCCATAGATTTTACCTAACTTTAGCACTGCAAATAAATATACCTGAAACTAGTGCTAAAATTATTACGCTTTTCTGAATTTTAAGCAAAATTTTAAATTTAATTGTAACTCTATAAAAAATTGTTAAGTAATTTTTTTTTCTCTCACTTTCTGATTTTTTCCCTTTTTTTTAACTTTTTTTTTTTTTTGATTTCTTCCGTGTAAAACACGTATGAGAAATTTTTCAAAAATTTTTTATTTACCAATAATATTTTCTGCTCTATCTAAGGGAACTTACTGCATGTTGATTGCAAATTTTGAATGAATTCTGCACTTAACTACGAAAATTAATTTAATCTTTTATCAGAAATGAGAATCAGTAAGATGTGGCTATGAACGATTGAAATTTAATTAACTTTTGCATTATACGAAAGGTATGGTTAATTTTTTTAATCTATCAGGAAATCAGATAAGATGCAATTAAGTGTAGCAATTAGAATTGATTTTTCAGATTAACAGAAGCATCCTTAATAACTTCTTATTTAATCATGAATTGATGAGTTTTTCTTGCTGCTTTTTAATTTCATATTCCATATGGATTTCTTTAAAAAAAAAGATCTAAATATCACCTGTCATATTATCATGTATCATTTTACTCATTTGTTAGTCTATTCGTGAATCATATCACTGACCTTTATAAGATGAACTATATTTCCAGCTTTGTATGAATTACATTTTGTTAGAATGCTTTGATACTATTTGGTCCTGATGAATTAGATGTTTAGGTTTGATTTCATAGCAATATCTGACATAAACACTCACACTTTTATTTCGGCTACCATAATCACGTTGATATTTCAGCGCATCATCAATATGCCTAGTCAGTACTTCAACAGAATGATCTCGTATTAACGGATCGACATTTTGGTCCTGGCTTGCCAATTGTATCACCAGTGACATGTTCAGTCCTGCAGTTTTTCTATTGATTTTCATCAACTGTTTATTTCTGACTTAGCTATCACATTTGCATCAGATAATGCCTGAGCACATCTTTCTCCTCTCATTGCTCAAAATGAAAAGTGATAATTTTGATTCTTTGCTCTTCTGCATACATAGAAAAGTCCTTGCAACCAATACCTTTTTCTAATGAAATAAATGACCGTCACTTCCTAATCCTTCAAATGATATTTAAATAAACAACAGAGAAAAATCGATAATTTGTGCCTGTGGCAAAGTAAAGATTTCAAAACCAGCATCAGTCTCATCAAAAGATAAGATATTAAAGATTAATTTCAAACTAGCTTATCTGAATCACAGTATTTACTGTTTGAAGTTTTCAGCAGCAAGACTAATTAGAACATCATTTGCTGTGATAACAGAGGGAAAATAAAGACACAATTGAATATGTCAAAAAAAATTCAATAGATTTGAAATTTGAAAAAGTTTGCTATAATGACAATAATTAAAAAGATAATTACCTGATTGTGTACTAAGTATTCGCCAAATAGTTGATGGCATATGAAACATGATGGCTGCAATAGCTAAAGCAAACGGAACCCATTGATAGTAACCAATTTGTCGACGTTCTCGATCATCCAAACGATGCGGTATTAAATCCTTCAATAAAATTCTAAGAGTTATTTCACATCTAATATTGTTCAAAAATTAAAATATTTCCTGTACATAATTAATCGCTACAACTATAGTATCCTAATCTTTTTAGTTATGATAATAATTCCATGTTATTGCTGGTAACACTTGATTCAGTGAAACATTAGTCAAATCTATCATTTGCAACTTCATTAATAGAAGTAGAATTTTTTTTTTATTCTTAACAAAAAATAATCTCATACAAATGGAGAGCAGACAGGAATGAATTTGAAAACAAAAAAAAAACCTCAAGAATATGTCTACTAATCATTCTAATTTTTAAAATTTTTGAATGTATTCAACAAACACAAATTTAATAAACCAGCAAATACAGTTTCAAAAAATATGAAATAAAAAATCAAAAAAAAAAGAACATTGTTGTTTTTCCTTTTTCAATAAAAAAAAAGTGTCTATAAAAAGCAAGAAAAAGAAAAAAAAATATTTTTAGGAGAATGCATTTCTAAATCAAATCAAAATATTAATTTTCTTTTTCTAAAGATGAATGATTCACACAAAATCAAACAATTCAATCCAAAATGAATGAAATGAAGCCGTTAACATTCTATTAATTACCAATTTACATATTCCTCTTCCTTCTCCTGCAAAAAAAAGGAGAAAAAACAAATAAACAACAGCAACTTTCTGTTTTCAGTTTCTAGCTGCCTGTTTTTTGTACATCTAAAGTTCATTCTTTCCTACATTGTAATAGACACTAACACTCGCAGAATGTTCCATCCAACAAAAAAGGAAAAAAAAAATCGCTTTACTTCTATTTTGCAAAGTTTTTTTCTTTTTTTTTTTTTGACATATATACATAAAAAATCTTGTAATCTTATTCTTTTCTCTTTTTATTATACAAAATAATTCTAAGCTTTGCTGCTTTTTTTTTTTTGCAACACACGTAACAAAATTAATTAAGTAACCTGGAATGGTACCCAATAGGTATTCTGAACCCAACAATAATTTTCCGTATACTGTTCCATAGCTTTGGTAAATTGAGCTGGTACAAAACATTCAATTGGATGGCCTGGAAAGTGAGATATGAAAGTGAGTGGAAATGTGAAAAAGAAAAAAAAAAACAATTTGTTTAGGAATAGTCCATTTTTTTGTTATGTCTTCAGGTTAACTGGATATATTGAAGGCTATGATTAGTGTATGTGCGTATATGTATTTGTCGTGACTAGGGGAAAGTTTTCCATTCCGGAATTATTTATTAATCAGTCACAGGCTTCTTCAAATTCAATCTGTCCAACCAGTTTCTAATTATCATTACTTGTAATCACATAATGAATCTAATGTAGTTATTATCGTCATATCCTGCAAATTATCTCCAAATGATGCATAAATATTCAAGTAAGTGACAATGATAGCTAACTTGTGACTGTGTCAATTTAATTTAAATAGTCAAAATGAAAAGAAAAACTGCAAAATATTTCCACTATCTAATATTGTTTATACAGAAAGGAACTGTTATTGAAGCGGAATCATTATAGAATTAAACAATCAATAACTCTCGGATAATCTCTACATTTTATCCATAATTTTCTTCCTTTTTTTTGGTTTGCCAAAAATTCTGATAAATGAATAAACATATTTTCATCCCATGATAATTTTATAATTTGCATAAGTGATAAAGCACTTTGTTCTAATACAAAAATATGCAAATATCTATATCTACATCTATATATATATATATAGATAGATATAGATAAAAAGAAACATAGAAAATTATTACCATATTGTTTAGCAGATACAATAATGGAGAATAAAAAGAACATTGTTGAAGTGTAGAGGTAATGAAGACGATCCACGAAATCATCATCTACTCTTGGTTCAAGAAGTCTTAAAGCAGAGGTTAACAAATGCATGCCAACCCGATAACTACCAGAAACCATTCTTTCTTTTTCCTCTGAAGCTAAAACAACGTCACCGTCGACAAATTTAATATAAGAAAAGTTGATTCTTCGTTTAAAGAACTCACTTTGAACTGCCCATTCATTTAAAGTCAGCTGGCAATACATTTTTGTTCCTCCTTTCTAAACGTCACTTGACTCCTCCTTTACTTATACACATATGCACCCAAACATTCTCATATATAATTGTATATATACATATACATCTACATTCCTGATTAAACGATTAATTTGATATGTGAAATTAAATTATAAAGATTGTGAGGAAAAAGAATTATTCTATTCAAATTTCTATCTACTATACATCAGATAGATTATAAAGAATACTGTTATAATTTGAATATATGAAATGAAATGATCAGGTAATATTAAGGGAATTCATTTTTCCATCTAATCATCTATAAGTATTCAATATTTAAGCCAATTAGAGTAGTTCTGACTAGTTAATTTAACAGTTCATAACAATAAATAATTTTGTTTCCTTTCAACAGTGATATTCCTGTTTTGATTATTGCTACCTGATCTTCTCAAGTGAGCTATTTCAAATCAAAATATTGAACACTTACCATTTGTTATTATTTTCTTATAACAGAAAAAGAAAAGATCAAACTTATAAGAAAATATAAGTAGCGATTCCAATATTATAGGTAAATAACAGCGCTGTGCTGTTTAGTTATTGTTCCCTGGAATAAAGAGAAGACTTCAAACCTCCACAGTAGAATAACGTTTAATTCATTTAGATTGCTCATTAATTTTCTATCGAATAGCTAAGCAAAAAGAGATAAGCAAATTTTGCTTAATTTTGAATATAACTCTTAGAAATGGAAAATAACCTACTTGTGATACCGAAAATGGGAGATGGTCTCAAACTTAACTGCCAAATTTAATCTTCATTCAATCTTATTTCAAATTGAACAAAATGAATTGTTGCTTGTATCACTTCATTTGACCAAGTTCACACCTCAGAAATATCATTCTGTAAAATCTGAATACAATATGAGAAACCTAGCATTGTAGATCCATTGACAACAACAATAGAATACACATACTCAGTTTACCATTCATATTTCATTTGATGTGATTGAAGCTTAAAACTCTTATTTCCACAATCATTATTGTCAATACTGCTTCTAGAACCAGCTCCACCCAGCTTTATTTTGATCTAGAACCACTCAATCATTCTTATTATTTTGATGACTGCCATAATTCTGTGAAATTCTTCATCCAAGTCTGTATTATAGAATGGGCGACTTTTGCGATGGTCAAAATGACAGTATCTGGTATTCAACTAAGATGATGATATTTTTTTCGATGCTATACCTACAATCCACTGTGACTGTTGTCACTAGTTCAAAATTTCTTTGAAATAATCTCACCTACTTGCAACCCAGCAAAACATGTTAATGCAGTTAAGAAGCACTATGAGTGAAACAAATGCAACTGCACTCCATTCTAGCATGTCCTGCATGGTTACAGGTAATTAAATAAGCTATTTTTGCATTTTCATTAATGCAGTTTAATCTTGGTGGAATTTCAAATGTTGCCACTAGTTCAAATGATTATATCAGTTTGTGAAATTGATTTCTTTCAGTAACTTCAGTATCATAATAAATTATCTTGATTAATGTGATGTGACGCCATCGTCATTCATAATTATCATTGGTTGTCATGTCAGACACTATCACATTTTGGATGATTTATTATGATATTAGATTAGTTTTTCGTTTTTTTAAATTATGGTTACATTATTTTACTCCAAATATATCATAAAATTTACATTATAACATAAGATACACTCTATCTACTGGTAAGCATGGAATATTTCCCAAATGTTTGCGGAAACGAAAAGAGACTGAAGATCTCAGCATAAAGTAAAATGTATTTCAAAAGTTTGACTAAATTCAGACGATGTATTTCGCAGAAACAATTAAAACTGTTAGTGGAAAATGATTGGTCAAAAATTATTGCCACAAATACATTACGCTTTGTATTTTTTTTTTTTAAATTTTGGACAATTTTAATTTCACCTTTTTTTTCTCTTTTTAAATGACTTTATTGATTTAAAATCACTTACTGTACGACTGATATATATACTATTCTTCATCTTTTCATCATCATTTAGATAAGTACATCTTTTGAATAATTTAATATAACTTCTGTTCTCTTACAATTTCCGTTACCAACCTTTTTTTTCCCCTTTCAATCTTGTTCTTTGTCCACATATCGATTGATATGAATGTATGAATGAGTGAATTCTTTATTGGCCGTCCCAGCCAGTGGTTTTCTTGTCGTTCCTCAATTTGCCCAGCATTTCTGCCTTTCCTCAGTGAAAATTATAGCTGTGCTGTGAATTAGAAACTTGCTTCTGATACTGGAACTTCTCGATTAGCGTATCAGCAATAACAATAGCACGGGTAAGTATCATACGTGATGTATTAGCACTGGGATGAATACAAGTTTGATTTTATGACCGGTTCATGAAGTTATATTTCATAATGATGCATAAATCAGCCAAAAAAAAAATTTTTAAAGCGACACTTTAAAATATAAGTAAATGATATTTTAAACAAGAAGTTGAGATGAAAAGGGTTTATGTTTAGAAAACTTTTGTATAATTATATTTGAGATACAATTACTGATACAGTTAATGAGAATTAATAAGAAACTTTCATTCACTAAATAATTATAGTTATCCTTTTTATAGTTGAGAAATTTTTCATTTGCAGTGGGTTGAACAATAGATCTAACTTAAACAGTTTAGGTTAGTTTACTTTTACATGTCATATTTCGAAATAGTTTTGATGTAATCAACATTTTATACTGCGAGAAGATTGTTGAACAGATAATTAAAACTTGGTATTTCATCATTTAAAATAAACACAACGTATGTTATTACAAATTTGTGACAAAATGCTGCCATACGAATGATTGTTTACAGGATGGATGGAATTTTTATTCTTCCTTGAATTTCTAGGACATTTTTTTGCAGTGGATTTTTTATAGTAATTTTGTAAGAAGTAATAAATTTTAAATTTGTAGAATTGAAATTAAATTAAGAATATTATCAATTGATTCGAATTATAATAAAGATTTCTTTGTGTTACCATCATTGAATAAGAGCAAAAGTCAAAACATTTTGTTGACGTCTTCTCAGTTTAGCATATTTATTTCATCCTGTTTCGAATGAATTGATAATAAAAGTAAGAATGAGTTATTGTTGGGTTTTTCGTCCTAGATTACTGATTATTTTTGTATACTTTTAATTTCTTTTTTTTTCGTCTATTTTCCCTCTATTTTTTTCTCTTTTTCTCCCTCCCTCTCTCTCTCTGCTTCCCTGTCTATTCTACGATTAGATATCCCGGAGTTTTCCATGTTACATTTAGTTTAGATTTCAGTATGTTCCGATTCTTTACTTTCAAAAGTCCTCTTACTTTGACATCCGGCATATTCCTCCCAGTCCTCGGTGATTTGACATAATTTCATTTTGCTTACTGTGATTTACCGGATTTTTTGGTTGTTATATTTCTGATTTTTTTTAGGAATCGTTATGACTGACGAAGCGACAGCAACGAAAGAAACAGAATTCAAGGAGTGCTTAGAACTGTGTGAAAAGGGTGTAAATATGTGTCGGATTAAAGCTGGTCACTTGTTACCATCTCGAAATGTCTACGTGGAAGACCAAAAATGGCTATGTTATCATTCGGATATGTGCTGGAAATTTGTGCCGTTAAAACTGAAATCTGGCAAGTAGCTAATTTCTTGAATTCGCTTAGAATTGGTAAAATGTGCACATCGCAATCATATCTTTTCCCCTTGATAGCACCTCTGATATGTGTTTGTATTCATCACTGTGAGTAGCTTTCTAAAAACTTAAGCGAATATTAAAGCTATATTAATTACTTATATTAAAACGAATCTTATCGGTTCAGACTGTTATTTTTCTTCCGCTAGTTCCTAGTCTACATCTCTCCATTTATATTTCGATTTTGAGCTGAACAAAAAATTTGGAACTTTCTGAAATATGATGCAATACAAGTGGCCATTTTTCAGTAAATATTGATGACATTCTGGAGATTCGAAAAGGATTCAGTTCTGATAATCTTCACAAAGCTTCCAAGAAATATTCCTTTCGAGAGAAAGTGACGGTTAGGTTTTACTTTTATGTTTTGAGTTGCTATGAACATTAAATATGAATATTTATATATGCATTTATTTACATGAATTTTTTTATATATGCACATATTTAGATAATCATTTAGAAGACTTAATTTAGTAAGAAGCGAAAGTCGAGTAATTTTCAACCTTAAATTACGATGCATATTTATGGTTCGTATACAGGATTAAACATGTGCATATTGTTACACTTTCTTATCGTAAAAATCACCCTGACGTGCTATCCATATTGATTTTCGGATATTCAACAAATAAAAATTGAAGGCAGAAATGTGTTTGTCTGTAATCTTAATTCATCGACGCATGCTTCATAAATCGATTGATTTTGCTGCTGAAAATTCATCTGTGAGAGATAAATTTGTAAAAGGTTTGCAATATCTTGTCGATAAGAGAAATCAAAAACACGTGTACTTTGACGAAGAACGTTGGCTTTTGGACAATTTCCGGAAAGCTGATATAAACAAAAATGGTCAGTTGATTTTCACCTTACTGCAACGAGTACTTAATATATTTTCTGGTTTTTAATTCTACAGAAAGCCAAAAAGCTTAAGCTTGCTTAAATGCAAAAATGGCAATAACATTCGGTCTTAATATTGCAACACAAATCTCAGGCTTTTGTATAGGTCTGGAGGAAGTTTTGATAATAGTTTTCAAATCGGTAAAGACTGGTACTAATGGTAGAGTCTGGTAAGACTGAATCAGTTAGGGTAGTTCAAGTGGTGTCGTGAATTTTCAGAAAATTCTGATGAATGAGGCAGTACACAGTGCTTCTGAATTCATTTCTGAATTCATTTTGTCTAAGTGTAGTG